ATGCATACAACAGCTGTTGCATGGATATTACAGGTTCGGAATATGTCACCAAGGATAGTTGCGAATATCGCTGTATATTTGTCTACTTCTTGCATTATTCCTACCTGGAACCAAGGTTTTCATCAATTCGTTCTACTATGTCACAAGATCCATTGTTAGGTTGCTTCGTCTGTTTGTTTACTCCTTCCAACTTAAAAAAATCAAAGCGAATCGTATTCAAAACAAAGATTAGTACTCATTCATACTATTTCCACTATCAGACATTATGGATAGGACGACTGCCTCCTACCTCTCCTCCCCGATCACGTGATCAAGACGTTATACCATATTCTCTAGAGTTACTCTAATAGTAGTAATGCCACTGCTCAGATCAAACACCATTAGTAGCGCCAACGAATCGCTTCTTTTTTAGTGAGGTAATTCTGAAAGATACATTCAAAAAAAGTAAAAAACCCTATATTGCAATATCACATTTACGCTTGCATTGGAAAAAATACTTAAAACACGTAACATTAATATAATGACAAGATATATTATTCAGGACGATCGACAGTTTGTGACGAGAAACTGTTTTAACGTTGACCTAAGTTTCTTTGTTGTCGATACATTTTTTTTATCTCTGATGGTAACATATTGTCCTACAGGTAGCTACCTGCGTATTCAGGTAAATAATGAAATATCACGCACACATACTAATGCAACCATTTACTGTTGAGGTCGGCCGAGTTTGTATGCGTACGAGAGAGAAGGGGAGAAGCGTGCAACAGGTTAATTCGAAAGAGTTAGAAATAATGCTTTGTGACGTTCCCCGCTGTCGTTGGCAGACAACGTGGTGAACACTTGTGGGTGCATTTTTCCCAATTCTTTCTAACATTCATGTTGCACGCTTCTGTGTACCTCTCGTACAGTGAAGCCCGGTCGACCTCAACCGTAAATGATTCATACGGTATGTTATAACATAACTCAAAGTTCTTTTTCAATCAGATATCGCTCCACTTGCCCAATTATAATAGTCGGTATTGATAGAAAGTTGCAGGATGACAAGCAGTGCACTGAACGTGGGTGAAATATTCAGAGACCCAGGTGTCCAATGCCACTGGACGAACCGGCCGTTTTTGTCATTGCACAGTCGCGACTATTGTTTCGCAAATTGGACGCGCCTTGTTTAGCACCACGCGTAAATTTTCCTTCATTGCTGTATGCAGCGGAAAATTACTCTATACTTCCGAGCGGAAGCTGGTTACAATAAAAAACGATTGGAATTGATGTCTATCGGTTTGCGATTGAAAGTATGTAATTAAAAATAAAGCGTAATACACGATCAATCTGTAAATTGAGATAAATGCCGAATTTATTTTACATAGAGGAGAGGAGGTCAGTAGGACCTTCCATCATGTTCAGTCTCTAGTCCTATTAAAGTTTTCGTTCCTCTGTAATTTGACATTTTATGATTTGTCAATGAGTCAAGTTCTAACACTACCTTACTTAGAAAAATAGATAGGCATGTAAGTAATACAGAACGCCGTGATGGCCCGAACGTCGTCAGTAAACGGTACTTCAAGCATATGCGTTTCATTTAACAGCCAGAAAAGCTTGAAGGATTATAAGATGTACATGCCATTCGATAGAAAATCCAAATATATGCCGCTTTTATCTCCCTCCCAAAAAGTTGTCCGTTTTAAATAACGCGGTGTTAAGCTTAACTTAAGCAACGATATTCTTTGTTTTCCAGATAAAAAAAGTTTGTGAAAGGCTACCTCATCGATTTGAAGATGAAAGAGAAGGAATATAATACATGGCAATAATTTTTTACAATACAAACATATTTCCAATCATTTAAAGGTTATCCTTGCTTTTACTGAAAATTCCATTTTACGCACTACAGTCCGAACAGCTTGGTGGATGATTCGATGGGCCACAGCTTAAACGGCTTGAATGATTTCTACATATGCAGTATTTTTACAATTGTCTATTCGCCATTGTCCGACGAGCGGTACGAGGGACCTTCGCTCTTTGTTAAGGTATCGTAGGTCAGTAGGTCTGTCAGGTTGCCCACATACCAGACGAAGTCAGGAAGAAAGAAAGGAAGAAGAAAGGAAGGAAGGAAGGGAGAACAAAGAGGGTTAAGTGCGCTAGTTGAAGGGATGCCTTGCCATTGATAACTGGTATTCGGTTATTTTAAATTGATCAATAAATAATTTTGGTTCGAACTAGAATTGCACGATTTAGTTTCGATCACAGTGCGAGCCGCGGTCTTGTGTCTTGTGTGCTTGCGAACTTGCTCAACACTGTAGTATACTGACTCACGCAACAGAGGGTCGCTATGCGATTCCGCTTGACTATAACGTAACTGCGTCTGATGTTTGACATCCCTTACGTAAGGGATGTCGAGGTCTATGTGAAGTGTCTCGCTGGAGACATACCATAGTCGGTTAGTGATGGTTCGCAAGGTTCTGTTCTGCAAAACCTGCAGATTACGCATATGCGTTTCGGCTAGAAAACGCCATGCTGCACATGCGTAAGTGATTGCTGGTCTGATGGCTATCTTGTATAGACGAACTTTGTTGACTAAACCTAATTTTGAGGTTCTACCTAGCACAGGGTAGAGTTGCCGAAACGTAATTTGGAATGTAGTTTTTAACGCTTCAGTGTGATTCTGCTAGGTCTTCCCCCTGTCAAGATTGACATAGAGATACTTAGCAGAATTTCCCCATGGTATGCGAGCCCCGTTCGCTGAAACCTCAGGCGGGGCGTCGCTATGTTTTTTAGTACAATAGATAGCCTGCGTTTTCGAGTAATTAATTTTGATTAGATACCGATCTGCCCATTCCAATACCTCATCCAATGCACTTTGTAACCTTTCGTGAACCAGATTCCCGGAACGTGAATGGGCCACCAGTGCAGCGTTATCAGCATATAGATAGACTTCACAGTCGCTAGGGCAAGGGACATCATGCGTGAAAAGTGAGTGAAGGATTGTTCCTAGAACTAAACCCCGAGGGACGCCGGCTCTGATGGGCTGTGTTATAGAATTGTCATGGCAGTGCGAAGGATGTTAGGTATACTACGATTTTATGAAGTGAAGATGGCGAATTAGGTCACAAACTTAGGAATTTCTCTTTCACGGGAAATAGCTCAATCGTATTGATGAAGTTTGACATTTGTGCTGTACCTCTCTCAGCTGACAATCGACGTAACCGTTTACTTTGGTGTAGAGATAGAATTATATGGGACCGGGAATGGAATCAGGTGGTATTTAGTGACGACTCCCGCTTCTGATTGAGGATGCACGATGGTCGGACAAGAGAGAGGCGACGTGGTGAAAGACGTGGCCCGCAATTTCACTGAGAGCGTCACGTTGACCACATTGTGAGAGTAATGGTATGGGGTGCTATTGCTTATGGTAGCAGGTCGCCACTAATTATCATCAGAGGCAATATGACAGCCCAGCGCTATATTCAGGAAGTAGTGGAGCCTCATCTTATTCCATCACCATCCAAACCCCGATTTTTCAGCAAGGCAATGCCAGACCGCATGTTGCCGGAGAATCTTTAGCCTTCATGGATCAACATCGCATCAACCGTATACCTTGGCCACCACGATCAACTGACCTATCTCCAATTGAACATATCTGAGACATGATGGGACGCAGGCTCTTGAGTTGGCAACTCCCTCCACAGACTTTAGCAGCTCTTACTCACGAAGTTGCAGTAACCTGGAATGAGATGCCCTACAGGATATCGACCACTTTATCAGCACGATTCTCAGGCGTGCCAACGAGTGTATAAAAAATCGTGAATCCCCAACACATTATTGAACCAGCTTCTACAGTCAGTTGACGAATCAAGCTGAACATTTAATCATTTTACTAGTAAGCGACACTGAACATACATGCCCAAAGTTATTAAAATCGGATAAACATACGTAGGTGTTTACCTTTTTTTGCCACTCAGTATAATTGAAGGATTATACTCCTGATGATACAGTTTCATAGAACAGTTGTCTTTAGAATGCCAGGTTTGAAAGTATCCAAGCATTAGTCAACTATGCAGGGACTCTTGTATTCTTTTTCCTACGTTCCCATTTTTTTTTTTAATATTCTGGAGATAACTCTTCAGCTGTATATCAGCGCTACGAGGAATGATAGTACCCGGTAAAGGTATAATTTATAATTCTGTGGAAGCAGAAATCAATTATGAGAAGGCTATTAGTGGACAACATACAGGGTGACTTCGAAGTTGAGTCATTTATTTTAACAGTGAGTAGATCTGATCAAAAGAAATGTTTTTTTCCTTTACCATTTTCCTGGTAAAATTAAAGTAACAAAGTTATAGCCCTTTGGAAGTTTGAGTACCGCCCTGTCTCAATAACAATATTATGTGGTCGTGTTTGGCGACAATGGATATAATCCGCCGTATCGGTTCATCGCATCGGAAACAAAAAAGCGAAAGAATTTGGAACGATGTTTTTACAGGTATCTCATTCATTTGTATACAGTTAGTGTCAGTGAATAGTGGTATGTGTTGCGTGGCTCAAACGAAATAAAAAATGGCATATGTTTATGCGGATCGGTTTCCCAATCGAGTGCAACCAACCCCTCGTGCCTTTGTTAATGTAGTACAACGGGCTTGTGAATCAGGTGACTTAAGACCTCACAGGGGACCTCACGATCAAATACAGGTCCGCACTGAAATACTTGTCGGGAGGATACTTTATAAAACAAGGTAAAAATTTTTTTTTATTTTTTTTTTATTTTTACACACATATTTTGGTTTATCTTCCTTCTACAATCATTATCTGAAAATTAATGACTCAACTTCAAAGTATAATAAAAAAGTAGTAAAAAGTATAATAAAAACTAAAAATGAAAATAAAAAATTCTGATCTTAGTAGTAAATGGCCAAAATGCTAGCTTCTGACTAAATACAGTACTGCAATCAATTTGTCATTGTTTATCTGACAAGTTCAAGAATACCTGGAGTATTTCTATTGACATTGCAGTTGTCAGCTATCCGAGTTCCCAAGTAATTTACATCTAGTACAAGGGTGTATCAACAAGAGCATCCAGCGCCCAAAAAAATAGGCGTAACAGATTTATATGACGACTGTGAGCTGGCCAAATTTGAGATCCTACAGGTTTAATCCAGCGACTAGGTTAGGCGATGTCAAGATGATGACGAGGAGCCACGTCGTGCATAAACCACATGTTGATCTTACTTGTACGGGTACTTCTTCTAACAAGGTTGGTAAATTATCCCGCAAAAGCCCGTGTACATTTACCTGTAAATCTTGCTGCCAAAAAGGAACCAATTAGATGGTCATCAATTATCCCCAACCAAACGTTCAGTGACTATCATTGCTGAAAATGGCTTGCCTGAATAATGTGGCTTAAAATATTCACTATGAAAGTTCATGGAAGTTTGCGTTGTCCCTAAATCAACCATCCGCAAATATTAATATCTACGTGATACGAGTACAGAGGGTTTTTGATACCTTTTCAAACGGTGCAATCTTCTGTTACAGTTACTGGTCTTTCACCGCCTGTATTTTAGTTAAAACTCCTAGTTTCACATAATCTTGCATGGAACGTTCTGAAAGTCTTGGCATTCTGTAATATACCTGTCTTACTAAGTTCTCAGTGGTTCTACGGTATTTCCATTTTCTAATCCATTAATGATGTACACATTAAAGTTATTTATGACGATATAACTGGCAGACAACTCTGAATGTTTATATGACTAAACTATCACACTGTGCTGGTCTTCAAAGCAAGCGGGTTGGTACTTGGTTGAACTTGGTAATAATTTATAGCAAACAAGATATGAAGAGAACGCAAGAGACCGAAATATTGTATGTCCAATACAACATCTCAAACATTCTTGTGGTTGTAATGCAGATAGTGCCCCATATTTATCTATCCAATTGCAACTGCATGTGTTGATTGGCCCGACAAACATGGCGGAATGTTGCATGTTTAGATGCCTAATCTAAAAAAATATTAAAACCACAAAAACATTGACGTACTTTTCCACATTAATATGGTTTTAATGTCCACTGAATCTAATAATTCTAAGACCTAGTTAAAGTTTCATGCACCAAAATTCAACCTCATCGGCCTAAGGATATTTGTGACACATACATGTATTTATAGGAACTTTTTTCTTCAACGACCTAACGAATCACCCTCTGAAATTTCCTACCGTCGACAGAAAACACTCTGTATAGTATCTCATTTTGAAGAGTTTTTGTGACTATGATACTCACTTTCCAAGTGGCGTGGGTGATATAAACTTGTTGATTTAAATTCAAAAATCCTGTCGTTCATTACACTGCCCTCACTAACGCATGGAAATGAATATTTCCCACGTCCACCAGCTCTCACTTTCCCTATCTGTTCATCGTAGTTGTCGGTGGTTGCCGTTGGGGCAACTGTCATATCATCGCGCCTCGCCATCTAGTCGGCTCTGACTGGCCATTGTTTGAAGTAACGAAGGAGTGGGAACAATGTATAATTAACTTGTCAGTGCGCGATGAAATGTAACTCGATATAAGCCAGCAAATTATGTTTGAGCTACATTTATCCGGGAGACAGGAACGAGGGCTCGTCCCCGGAAGTGTGCTCCATTCGCGCACGATCCGATGATGGACTCTTGTGTGGAGTTTGGTTACGGCGAAAAGCTAATGATGTGTCTATGAAATTACATCGTGAACAATGTAGCGAGTGTAACAAACTCTGCATCTTTTCAGGTGAGGTACTATTAAAAAGGTCAAGGTGAAATATTTAGCAGCCTTGAAGAAAGTCCTACGGTGACCTTGGATTTGACCTTGAGCCTCACTTTCAGGGTCATTTCGGCATCAACCTTTGTTTTTTAAATGTAAAGCCCCCATTTTTTAAGTCTATGGTCAAGGTCATCCCTGAATGTCAAACTTGAGAGGCTAGGGAAATATCCCAGAAGCTTAGCAGGATTATTCATAAACGAATCAAGGTTAGACCTTCAGTAACTTTTCAGGATTTTGATGTTGACCTTGAATTTGATCTTGAACCTCAAATCCAATGTCACAATAGTAGACGAGAACGTACTAGACCGTATAATTTTCCGCTGCCTTAGACCAAGGCAAGGTCACCATCTGTAGTCTTTATCTTAACTTACTCTGTCCTCAGTATTTTTTCATCACTTATCTTTCGGCAGCAGCGGTGGCCGCAGTAGTAGACTCTTCGGTCTCCTGATCAGTCGCCGTGCGCTGTGCGGGTTCGAGTCCCGTCCCAGAAGAAACTTTTCTCTTGGCTATGGATGTTGTGATAGTCCGTAGGTGGTAGACGGTCTCTGGCTGTCGAACGTGGAGGTACTACCCGGCGGATCTCGTAGGCGTGTTGCATGCACACGTGTTCCCTCGCCAGAGTCCGTGTGGCGTTCCCCTTTCCCCTGTATCCCCCTATAGCCCCACGGTACCCAATAGGTGTTTAGGCCTTAGGCCTTCGTGGCAGTTGGAGTATAAAAAAAAAGAATTGGCTCCTGCCGCATACATTTAACCTTCATTGAGACCTTTAGGGGTGACTTTGATCCTATATCTTAAAGCACATTCGACATAGAGTTTTCCGTTCCTTTGATTGCTGGTGTCAGAAAATGGGATTTCCGTTTAAAAAACAGAGGTTGACCTTGAAATAGTCCTTACGTGCCGCTAGATGCTAAATCCAAAGTTGCTATCCAACTCCTTGTTCAAACTTAGTGAAAACTTGACCTTGATCTTTTTCATTAATATGTTACTTGGAAAAATACAGGGTTAGGTGAATTTCGTTAATTTTGTTACATTTGCTATAATTGGCCGATTCTCCAATATATTTTTATAAGAGCAATGAGTATATATCATACGATACTGCTAAAACCCGAAATGCGGTGACAATTAGGTTTAGCCGGTTAGAACTAGGTGTAGCGACTGGCGATTAGTTAGTCTTAGGTGTAACATATACATTCATGGCCAAACCTAGTATTAGCCTGTTGCATTCGATTAAGACTAGGTCCAACGAACTTGATCTCGGCTACACCTAGGTATAGCCAATCCTTAGTGGTCAAAACTAGATCTTAACATTACAAGCAGGCTTAGACGGGTATTTTTGAAGCAAATATAAGGTCATCATTTTCAACAATAACTTTCTTAAACATAAGTTAGCCATACCTTGGCCTTGTCATCACAGGTAGGTAACCGCAATAATAAAAAAAATTATTCTAGTAACAACATTTTTTTTATAGCTGAAACTGAACTTTAGAATTCCTATGAATATATTTGATGTAGGTATAACTATTGAAAACATTATTTTTATTTGTAACTCTAACTGGACCTTACAATCTTAAAATATTCCTTGTAGATATACCGTATAACAGTTTAAACATATTTTTTTGTCGCAACTGTAACTGAACTTTACAATTTTAAAACACTTCATGCAGGTATAACTGCATAACAGCTTAAACATAATTTTTTGTCGTAACTGTAACTGAACTTTACAATTTCAAATATTTCATGCGAGTATAAACAATATAAAAATTTGTTAATTTTTTCCCGTAACTATAACGGAACTCTAGAATTTTTAAATATTTCTTACGAGAACAGTCTAATTATCACAAATTACTGAAACATTCATTAGACCAAGTTAAGTAATAAAAAAGTAGATGGTTAACATACCCAATGATATGAGAAAACTGGGACGATGACACTTAGAGTTACACAAAATGCCAGCAGCTTTACGAAGACATTTTCTACTTCCACACTTGGTTTTACAGTGGTATCTTTTATAGCCTTTCCGCCAGATGAAGATTAGGCATTGGCTATTTGGCGCAGTGATTTGTTTTCGGGCGAAACATTTTCAAGGTCTAGGAATTCGGGCACTGTCTCAAACTGGTTGTTTAACTTATAAAAACCATCCTGAGTAATCTCAAGTACCACCATTTAAACATTTGGGAAGACTTCTCTACATCTATCAAGGTCAGAAATTTTGACTTGGACGGTATCACTTATCTTGCAAGGATAAAACCTTTCATTTGACGAAGCTGTCATTTTTTTAGCCTGTATTACTAAATAAACTACCGCACCGTTCTTGTTGTTATCTATTTGCTGTTCCTTTTCTGCATACGTCATACTTTTTCTGTAATTCCATTGCCTCGTGATTCAATTTCTGCCTTATTCACCTCACTGCTGTTCAGGAATTTTCTCCAGATCCTCCTTATTCTCGATCTTTTCGATTGATACATAAGGCAGAAATCATGACCTTAAGCCAACTTTAACATGACAACCAGACATTGCTTGGTGCGGCGATCCTTTAGTTCCATGTTGGTATGCTCCATTTTTCATTAGTTGAACGCATCTTAGTCCTTCAAACCATTTTTGACAAGTTTCAGTCGGTACCATATGACTGGCTATGGAGCGGCTTCTCCTGCACAATCTTTGGACCTGGCCACATTTCTGTTAACGAACTCCCGACCATTATCAGATTGCAATATAGATGGTGATCCGAATATACCAAATTTATCCAGCAAATGCCTCTGATACATCCTCAGCAGTCTGTCTTACTATGTAAATGGTGTAGCTGTACGAATTTCTTCAGGTCCTGGTAAACTAATATGAATCTAACATTGCCGTCTGAGTTTGTTCGCACATCTCCCAAATCTACCTGGCAACGACTATTCAGCTCATTAGATAAAATTAGTTTCACGACAAGATTTTTTATCGCATTTTGTTCTATTTGACATGACCTTCAAAAACGAAGATAAATAAGAACAGCCTCCTGAGTGATGTTCGCGTACTGCAAACTTCTTGTTTCTCCCGCCGTGTCCAATGCTTGCCTGTATTTCATGAAGAACATCGACAGGTATTCTTTCTTGACGTAGTATTTGAAGTCATCAGTACTTTTGCCTTTGGATAAGGGAGCAAATAACTTTTCGATGTCACCAAATACAACACATTTCGAAACGTTTCAAACGGCATGTAACGATTATCGCCTTGCTTCGAAGTCAATATGAAGTCAATTGATTTCATAGATTCTGATTCTATTTTGAATCACAATGCGAGCGCGAACTCGATACTTCAAATATACGTACGCGTACAAACATTATGTATACGTATATCTAACATGGTGTTACGATTGATACTAAGCCGCCCACAGCGAAAGAACGTCAGTTGTCCGGACGCTACGCGCTACCTACCAGAACCTGTTTGTGACGCCTACATCTAGTTTTAATCACCAAGGAT